CTAAAGGTGCTAAAATAAGCTTTTACCTTTCTTCTTCACTCTCTAACCTAGTCATGGTGTCTTTTTGTTTTGTTTTTATCTTGCTATTTAATGTCATTTTAAAAACTCAAATTTTAGATAATAAATATTTATCTTTATGTTATACAGTACCAGTTCAACGTGCAATACAAAGGCATTGAAATCCCATGTGGGTACATAACAGATGCACAGGGGCACTAAAGAAGAGGGTGCTCTTGAGAAAAGCTTACTAAAAAAAAATAAAAAGCTTGCTGAAGAAAACAGAGTGGTATTTCTTACTGTTCTGATCTGTGCAGTTTTCCATACTATTTATTATAGTTGGCTCTACTTCTGTGTATTCATGTGCACAGAGCTGGCTAGGATATTTCTTTATCCCCTAAAGTGGCTTTGCACAATGCAAATTGGTCTAAATGAAGTGCTGATGTGTAAAGCAATCCAGGTCTGTGATGCCCCGCCTATAGCTCCCAAGTAGAACACTGTGAGCTAGGCTGAGTAATGTCATGCTGTTGGCTGAGACTGAGGCTCAGAGAATCTATGACACTTCAAAGCATGAAGATTACACATGAGAACCAAATCACCAACCCTTAAACATAAAATATTCCTTCAAACTGTGTTATGTACTGTTTATCTCTCTCTGTATATTTCAGAGGTGCTATCTCACCTCCTACCTAGCCCAGCTCACAGCATTCACATAGTTCCTGCCATTCTCAAAGCCACTCATCTCTGAGCAACTCTCTTCTTCATGAATTAAAACCTGGGTTGGACCTTGGATCAGGGTTTTTACTCTGGTTATCCATTGTTCTAGCCAGATTTAGTACTCCCTTGGTTCCCCACAACTACAAACATGCCTTAGTGTCTTTCTGCTTGCACTGAAAGTGGTAGATTGGAATTACTTATGGCAATTCTTAGTTACTTTGTATTCGTTGCTGAGACAAAAATCCTGAAGCCCAAAGTTGGGAAAGGAAAGGTTTATTTCTCACAGTTTTTGGAGGTTTCAGTCCACACTCATTTGGCTCCAAGGCAGGCAGGCATGGCTGGGCCGCAGTTCATGGTGGCTGCAAACAGCAAGCCGGAACCGGAAAAGAGCAAGACACACCTTCTTCCTGCCATTACATCACATCCTGGCTCCACCCCTATGTGGGTGGAGCAATAACACAATCAATCCAAGCACTAGACAATGAACCAATCACAAATGCACAATGCAAACTCATGAGGCCTGGGGGACACAGACATAAACCATGACAAATTCCAGTAACTTTTTCCTGGGATACCCAATGTGGATTCCTCTGGGCCATGACCAGATCCAGAAGGGCTTCCTATATGTGGAAAGAGATACAAAGAAAAATGTTTGAGCAGAAAGATTCTCAGACTGTAACACAGTTCTAAAAATCTTTTGGCCATATCAGTAGGGAATACCCAAGCCTAACTGCTCATTAGAGGCATCCCTCAGGAATGGGACAGCACTTGTACACAGATCATGTTTAATTATTGCCTAGTAGCAGCCTGACAGAAGTGTGGTTTTCGTATAAACTTGGTAGTATAGACAAAGGGATGCCAGCAGCAACTGTCAATTATCTTCCTTGTTAGATGTTCTCCTGAAAATCTGAAGAGTATTTCCATAGCTTTCACTATAGGAGTAGCAAACAACAAATACATAGACAATATACTATAGGTTATTATGTCAGATGGTGATAAGTGCTCTTAGGGTGTTGATGTGGGAATCAATGGTCTATGGTAAATCTCTGTTAATATACTAAAAACTATTCGGTTGTATACTATAAATGGCTGAATTTTGTGATATATGAATTATATCCCAACAAAGATGTTAGAAAATTTGAAAGTGAATATTTAGCCTGTTAGTCATCTGGTAAGCAGTTGGATATATAAGCTTGAGGCTGAAGACATAAGTTCAGTGGCAGAGTGCTTATCTAGCATGCACAAGGCCCTGGGTTTGATCTATAGCACTGCCAGAATAAAAAAGGAATACTAATTGGATATATGGTATTAAATGCAGGAGACAGATTGGAGCCAGAAATATAAATTTGGAAGTTGTTGGCACTTTGGTGGCATGTTTTCAATTATCTATTATTGCTGTGTCAAAAGATAACCCAATTTGTTGGCTTAAGGCAACAATGAATTATTCTTTTTCACAATTCCCTGAATTTCTTATGATTCATTTAGCTATAATTATGCTACTAAGTATGCAGCTGTTCCATGCATGCCTGAGGCCCTGGTACACATTGTGGTTTGGGGTACCCTGGTTCTCCTTCACATAGTCTCTCATCATTTAGTCATGTATCACAAGATTCATGCATGGGAGCTGGCTACCAAGAAAGCCAAAGGAGAAGCTTCTAGGTTTCTTGAGGTGTAGTCCTAGAACTGGCACATTATAGTTTCACTGCATTCTACTCCATTCTAATTTACAAGGCCAACTCAGATCAAGGAAGGGGATAAAAGGACTCTACTTCCTGATAGTATGATTCATACACACACACACACACACACACACACACACACGATGATGGAAAGAATTGCGGATGACCAGATTTCTAGAATTTAACAACTGTGACACTCCAATTATAAAAAGGAACCAGAACATGAAACCAAGAAATAGTAATCTATAAGGAGTAGACCTGGGTTCTAATCTTGCTTTTGTTAATTGTTAACTGTGCTACCCTAGGTAACTCTTAGATTCTAGGTTAATTTCCTAAAGTTGCCAAGCCTCAGTTTCCTCTTCTACTGAATGAACATAATAGTATGACCTATTTTTTAATCCTTCCTTTTTATTACAAGGCAGAAAAAATGAACAAATAAAAAGAAAAGTGACCTAGAATCTAACACAAAGGAGTACTGGAGGGTTAGGAACAGAAAATTAAATAGCAAAGGAATGAATATGAGCTTCTTTCAGAAAATATGTCTGTAAGAAACAGTAGTGACAGGATGATTTTCTCATTTTAAATCTCAAAACCATCATATATGCTAGGTACAATTGCTTTGTTTTACAGATGAAATTCATCAGGTCTCAGAGAGGTTAAGGAATATTCTTGAGTCTGGCTTTCTTGTTGAGCTTCTTTGGGAATGCAAAAAACAGAACGAATATTGATGGGACAAAAAGTGCATTGGGGTCTGATTAGATTATGACATTATTTTGAGTCTGTACACACACTACATGTTTGGTATTCTTATGGGAAAAAATAGACAGATGGCCAATCAGCTGGCCTCTGTCTGGATGGGAGGAATGCACTCATTTATAATCTTGTTTTTTAACATGTTAGTATTGCTGCTTAGAGACTATGTCAAGCTTTGATCGTGTTTTCATTACACTTTCTTGTAGAACGCTGCCTCTTCTTTTTGCCAGCCCTAGTCTAGTCTTTGTTTTTTATACCTCACTTAATGGCCCCTCCCATCTTCTTTATGGAATGGTCTTTCATAAATTTCTCTTTGAACTTGGTTAAGGATAAAAATCCTGTCTGTTATACCTTTGTATCTGATTAAGACCAGTGTTTTCTTTCCTTGACAAAATCTTGAAATAATTACAAAGAGAATCTTTTGCATTTTATAGGTAAAGAAACCAAGACACATGTCAGCCATGACCAGGTTTGTGAGGTGTTTGCTAATGCTGTGTCTCAGGTATGCAGGATCAAAAGCTGAAAATTTCTGGGTTAATTTCCTGCTGGAACATCTCTTCAAGTTTAATACAGTGGTGGTAGTCAAAGCAGATTACCACCTGTATTGATCTGCAGTACCTGATTAGAATGGACAATGGCTTATTCCTGGAGCAGGATCCCATAGCCCATTGCTGAGCCAGGCCTTAACTCTTTAGTTGCTAGATAATAGTACCTATAGAGCAGGACAGGGTGGATGGGAATGGGTTGGCTAAAGAGATGAGAATTAGGCACTTATCATCAACCAGCATGAAAAAAGATTTCAAGAATTTAACAAAATAGTGTCACTGGGTATAATACATCCATTAAACATTAGGATCTTTTCTTTTAAAAATCTCAGATGAGGGGCTGGGGATTTAGCTCAGCAGCATAAGTGCCTGCCTTGCAATCAGGTAATTGTGAGTTTGATCCCTAGTACCGATAAAAACGAAAAAGACCAAAAAAAAAAAAAAAAAAAAAAAATCTCAGCTGAATGGACAGTAAAGTAATGACTCTGCCCGGAAAAGTAGCTTATCTGTCTGAAAGGAATATGTAGATGCTGGCCCCAGGTGGTAGTGGTGGGGCCTGACTTTCTTTCCACAAGTGAGAGAAGGAGCCTAGAATGGCCAAGGGATGCAACAGCTTAGAAACTTCCATTCTCAGCAAGTCTAGAGCATCATTAGTAAAAGAACTTGATCCCCAAATAGTCATTACATTTTACAAGCCCTTTAATATTTACTAAGAATTTATACACATGTGATCAAAATTAATGCTTACAAATACCCTAATTATCCCCATCTTACAAAAGATGACATTGAGATTTGAATCATTAAACAACCTCAGATTACCTCCAACTATATTGTGAAAGAGCCAAGACTAGAATTTATAGCTGTCTTCCTCCAAAGTACAAGTTGCAAGTGAAATTCTACACCTGAAGTTGATTTCTGAGTGGTCCGTTGGGGTAGTCCAGCCTCCACAGGCTGATTCACTCCTTGATCCCTGAGGCATGGACATAAACTGTTAATTGGAGACCTGTTTTCAAAGAAACATCTAGTTTGTCATGATTCTTGAGATTTGAGTGGCAATTGTTAAGGATGATATTATAGCTTTAATTTGACTGTTGACCAGCTGTGGAAAGTCATAAAATACTGCAGTCTAGAGAGACTAGAGAGAACCTAAATATTGGAATAATCCACAACTAAGATCATCAGCTCTACTAGAAAAAAAAATGAATGTATCTTCTGTTGTTTGGAGCTCATCCTTGGGAGTCAGATACGTGATTAATAGCACATTTTATTCTAGGAAACAGTTTTACTTATAGGCACAGGGCTTACTTACATGTTTTTTAGTAAGTGTTCCTCTTCCTTCAGAGTAATCTGCAGGGTCCTAAACCATCTTTTCAGCACTTCTCTGTAATTCTCTACATTCTAATCAGAGAGAAAAGGCAGGAAACTCCATTTTCACATCAACTATAAACATCAGGATTGAAAACTATAAACATCAGGATTGGAAACATCAGGATAAACACGTCTATTTTTGTTTTGTTTAAAGGGAAAACTTTTGCCCATTCAAGACAGAATCACTACCTGGCAACTAGAGAACTTAAGACATTATATGCTTCATTGGTATTTTGGGGACTTGGTACAGAAGAGCCCAAGGTAAGTCCACTAAGTTCATGTCCACTGGGACCTACTGAGAAAGATCTGTTGCTTGGGTACTTAACTTAGTCTAGTAATAAAACAACAAATAACTGAGGAAGAAATAGTCCCTGTGGGAGACAAGACAGAGTTTGCAAAACAGCCTGAGTTTATGAGACAGGCCTCTCGGGCAACAATCAACTCCTATACTTTATTTACCTTTAAACACACATGCCAAGTCAGAGCCTAGTAAGGAATACATAGTTTCAGCGCATCAATATCACAGAATCATTCAACTGGGGAAGAAATTGTAAGCACCAATCATCAAATAAACAAAAATGCTATTCTTTTATTAAACATTAACCACGTGCCACTCTGGTTGTTTTTTAGTTATATCATGCATCAGAGTTTCTTTTTCCTGCTAGTCTCTGTCAGGCAATGTCTTAGTCACTTTCTTTGTCACTGGTACATAACATCAGACTCCCACAACTTAAAGAAAGAGAGGTTTATTTTGGCTCCCATTTCAATTCATAGTCAGAAAGCTTCAAGGCAGCATGGCATAGTAGAGGGTCATGGCGAAGGAGAGCTGCTCATAGTATGGTGTCCAGGAAGAAGAGAGAGAAGGGAGAAGCAGGGAACTAGAATACAGTCTTCCAGGCCACACCCCCATGGTCCACCTCCTCCAACCAAACCCCGCCTCCTAACAGCACATTTTTTATTGGCTTTTTATGACAAGGTCTCACTATATAGAAAACGCTGGGCTTGAACTCACAGTGATCCTTCTGTCTCAGCCTGACAAGTGCTAGAATTACAGATGTGTACCATCACACCTGGCTCCAACATCACATTTAGCTATAAATCCATGAGTGATCCAACCTCCCAAAAGCTCCATCCATGATTGTATGAAGCTTTGGGAGCATATCTAAATATAAATCACAATAGACAATGACTGCCTATTATCTACCTCCCTAAGGAAGATTACTATGTAGTTATAATTCACTGAAAGCCTTCCATTGGCTATTTTATTGTTGGTTTATTAAGTGTATCAATTTAGATTCTCTTTGTTGTAAATAATACAACATTCAGACAGGCTGAAACAATAAAGCAGTTTGTTTTTTGTTTTTTAATTTTTTGTACCAGGAATCTAATTCAGAACCTTGCACTTGCCAGGCATGTGCTTATGCCACTGAGCCATAACTCTGACCATTGTTTTTTATGCTGCTGTACCAAGTTAACTTATAAACTTAGAGGCTTAAAACATTTATTATCTTATAGTTCTAAAAGGTTGCAATTCTGAAATAGGTCGTTCAGGACTAAAATCAGTATGTTTGCAGAGTTACATGCCTTCTTGGGACCCTAGTGAAGTGATGGTGAAGCCTGTAGAGCTTTCAGTAATCCAAACAGACCCTTGTGGCATGTGTACCATAAGCTCACCATCACTGTTCTAGGGCAAATCACATCCTTTCTCCTATCTTTACCCATTCATCTGTTGAGGAACACATAGGTTATTTCCAAGATTTAGCAATTATGAATTCTGCTATTGCAAACATAGATATGTATGTATTGCTGTGGTATGATGTCATTATGTTTTGGGGGAAGATACTTAGAAAGGGAATAGCTGGGTCAAATGGGATTTTTATTTTTAATTTTTTGAGGACTCTTCACTGATTTCTATAATAGTTGTAACAATTTATACTCTTACCAACAATGAAAAAGTATTCCTTTTTCCTCACAGCCTTGCCAGTATTTGTTATTGGGTGATTTCTTAATGATAGCCATTCTTTCTGGAGTGACATGAAATCTCAGTGTTGTTTTAATTTGCATTTCGCAAATATCCAGGGATGTTGAAAATGTCTTTCTATACATATTGAGGGTTTCTTCATCATCTGAGAAGTGTCTATTCATTTAAGACGCCTATTTTTAGGTTAGGTCTTCAAATGGGTCTAATTTTTTTAGTTATTTGTATGTTTTAAGTATTAGTTCTTTGTCAGAATAGTACCTGGCAACATTTTTTCCCCACTCTGTAAGTCGTTTCTTCATTCTGTTTGTGTTTTCTTTTGCTGTACAGAAGCTTTTTAATTTAATATAATTCCACTTGTTGATCCTTGGTATTATTTCTTGTGTAACCAGAATTTTGTTCAGAAAGTCTTTGCCTACAGCTATGTCTTCAAGTGTTTTACCTATTTTGTCTTCTAGAAGATTAAAATGTCTGTTCTAATGTTTAGATCTTTAATCCACTTCGATTTTAATCAAATTGTGTATTTCTTCTACCTCTCAACTGGATCTCACATTCTTAACCCCACTCCATCCTAGCATGTTAAATAGCTATTCTAGAGGAGGAGTGGCAGCTATCCAGATAGAAGTGCAGAAAAAGAATTCCAGAGAAGGCCCCAAATTCTTAGATAACCAAGTTATTAAAGAGCATGATACTTTTGGAGAACAGCCAGTCAGAAAGTCAGCAAGGCTCTCAGGAGCTGTATGGAATAAAATCACCCAAGAGGCCATCAGGTAGGTCAGATGAGGTCAGATTATTAAAGCAAGTGCAAAGGAAGCTGGCTTTTAAATAGATAAAAGTGGGAGCTACTGAATAGATTTAAATACATCAATCAGATGTGCATTCTAGAGAAATCATTTATTATTAGCCAAATTGTGATGATTCTGAAGCAATAGAGCAAGACCTCTCATCACTCCAGGGAGGGTCAATCTCATTCAGTTTTAGTATCATGGGAAATAAAGAATATAGAAATGACAAAGTCACAAAAATATGAACTATACTAAAATTATTATATTTAAAAGATTATCCCCAAACACAATGACTATTTCTATTATCACATTTGCAGGGGCTGTAAATCTGGGTAAGAGGCCCAGACCTCATCCATCCCCAAATGGATTTTATTTCCAGATTCTATCATGTTCTAAAATCTCAAGCAAAGAACTTACTGTCTCTGAGCTTCAGTTTCTAGAGATGAAATGAAATAACAGGTGTATAATATCTGCCATTCTTGGGCGCCTCACAATATTTAAATGTAATGAAACTGTGTTCATGTGCATTCACACTGGTGAACCCATACACATAAGAGTGTGTATTTAAAATTTTAAAATGATGCCTTGATGCCAAGATTGGAAAAGGAGTAAGTTAACCATGCCAACCAAGTACCTTTCCTTGCTTCTGTGTTGAACCCCAACACTGAAGAGAGTGCATCTTCTTAGGTATCCATCATGAGAGTCATATATCTGAACATTCACCTCAGTGTAAAGGCGTTATACCATCATCTTATTCTCCTTTCCAACAGTGCTGTATTGAAAGCTTTGGCTTTCATTGTAGAATTAATTAATGTCTTTTTCCAAGTTAAAGGCATCCATTCATTAATATAAACCAGAAATTTTTTGGAAGTAAGAGGGACTTTCAAATTCATCCTGAGAGTGTATTTAACAAAGCATTTACCCTTAAATGCTTTTGAAGTCGCTGAACCCACACATTCTCCCACTGGGCTCAGTGTTTCTGTCTAGGGCACAGAGATCTGGTACTCCCAGTAACAATTCCCTAGCTGAGCAACAGCAGTAACTCACGTACTGCAACAGTCTTCTTGGGTTCCTGTTAACTCTGCAGAGTCAAGTCATTGAATTGGCATTAGATTTGGCACTCAGAAGTTCTGCAGGGTAATTTCAGAGCATAGCATCATCTAAATAGTTCCCTGGGCCTGAGCCTATTTCCTAAAGCTCCAGTTCTAAGACTAATCATTTGTAGGATTCTGTCATTAAAATTCCATGGGGATGGTGTATTTTAAGAACTAGTAAAGACCTAATCTGAAAAGAAACTTTGGAGGTTTAGTCATTGCATTGTGATAAAATATTTATGTGTTTATGATCATTATGTGGTAACAACAGCTAATACTCGGTTGTGTTCTAATTACATTCACGTCTCTTAGCAGTGGATATGGCAGAAGGAAGGGGTGAAAATACAAATAGCTACCGCCCTCATCCATTTTTAATTGCCTATTTTTCCCCTAAAAATGTTATCATGCTTTTTCCATTAAAACATGTAATCATGGGAGTTCTCAGCTAAAAGTACTGTATAAAGTCATGTGCTTTATCTCCCCATCTGTAAATAAATCTAGGCATAAAACCACCCCTGTATAGCTGAACAATAATCCCCTGTGAACCACAATCAGGATTTGATAATCTTTATTATCAATAATGTTTGGAATAGCTCTACCCTAAATCCCTCTGGCTGCAATTTAATCTTCTGTTGTTTAGTTTTTAGTACAAGCAAGTCTTCCCAATAGATATTTTCCAGTTGCTAACAGGTCATATCCCATCCTTATTGGTTTTCCTCCCCTGCAGTTCTCATTCTTTTAATTGTCCCTTGCAAGCTCCATGTGTCTGCCCTTTAATTAAATCTTTTAATTGTCTAATAACTTTTGTATGTCATCCTTGTCTCTCATGGATTGTTTGAATGTGACTAGAAAGAAGAGAAAAGATGAGTATAAAGAGAGTTTTTCACTATTTCTACTATTTTTACATCAGCATTTCAAATGATGCTTAGTGCTATTTATTGGATATATGTAGTATATGTCCATTGCAGCAAGCTTTAAAAATATAGAAGAATATAAGGGAAAAAGTAAAAAATGTTTTGTATTCTGACAACCATGTCCCAAGGATGTGTGTGTGTCCTCATTTGGGATTATATTTTATGTGCGGTTTTGCATCTTGCTTTGTATTTCACAGGCATTTATGATTTTCCAACTCTCATAGTCTATAAATCTGTCATTAATTTAAGAATATCAGAT